CCTAATTGTCTTGGTGAGAAGTGATTGAAAATTAAATTGCACTAAACAAGGCAAGGCAACTTGACAATTGACAACAACAAAGGATTGATTACTTGGTGCTTTTATCCATTGTGCTAACTCCCTCTCTCTTTAGGATGGGAACAAGGAGTAATATATTAATATCTATTACACTACATGTCTGTCTGAGAATATCGTTAGAGTCTAGTGTTAGCATTTTAAAAATGCTATCTACGTGTAGCATTTAATGTCTAGCTGTTAGCATTTTAAAAATGCTATCTATGTGTAGCATTTTAAAAACGCTAACACTAATCAAAAACGCTATATTTCAAAACGGGCTCTACAAAATAACTACCCATTCCTCCAAGCTCCTTGTGCACACATTGGTTGAGCACACTACTAGTAGTTGCCATAAATAATGGTCATGTGAAGTGATCATCTCTACTTTTAGTTTCACATAAAGTTTTGTTTTTCATGTGTCTAGTCTTTGGACCGATCTTCATCTTCTTTGGTGGTGGTGCAAGTACTTTCGCGAGATACCTCCAATTTATGTCCGAAAAAGTCTAATTTATCTAAAAATTCCAACATCTAGTGGGTTTGAATGCGCCTTTGCGGATAGCACAACTGGTCTTCAGAGAAGTAATTAAGTACATAATTTATTAGTTTTGACTCTTGAATCCTGGTAACAGCAGTAAATTGGGCCAATACAACTCCTCTAATGTACAAACTATGATTTATCTCTTCACTACTCTTTTGGTCAGTGTGTAGAGACATCCGGAGCGAACATTCTTCCTTTTCTAGAACAATGCATCAAAGACTAGCTGTTCTTATGAGTTTTGAAGAAATTCTATTTTTCATGTTCATTAATAATTTATTGAATTTTCTAAAATCTTAAAAAGATAAAGTGTCTAAAATTTAATTTTTCAAAAGAATTTTGTTTCTAAAAAGTGAACAATTAAAATCAGATGGGAGGAGCTATTCTAATGGGGATTCCATTTCAAAATTAGTAGACGCAAAATAAAAGTCTAAACTCTAAACACGTTTTGCTAGGCCCATCCAACTTGAACGATTAGCTCAAAGCCCATGACTGAGGCGGTGATGTGATTCTGTGATAGCCTCATAAGATTGAGACTCAAATAATTATTCTTTCTCTCCCAAAAAGTTTTCTTGTTTACTATTTTATATTTTTGATAAATTTAATTTGCATGTATTTCTTATTATTTATTCATTGAAATAAAATACTTTTATCACTACTTATTTTGGTAATATTTTTTATGTAATTTTAAATATGAGGTGTAAGTTATATTTTTTATTTTTATGTCAATTTGTAATTAAAATCATTTTTAAATAGATGAATTTCGTAGGTTTCTCGAAAATTGAAATTTTTTTAAAGAGGGAAAGAGTATATAACACGAACCAATCACGTATCAACTCAAAAAATTAAAAAAAGGAAAAGTTATACTTTCAAGTTAAATTTTACTCCTTAACTAAGTCAAACAACTTCAAAAATGTAATTATCACTTGGGAAATGCTTGGTTCACAAATAAAATGGTCACAAACTTCACAAAGTTACTAATTGTGAACTTCAATAAATAAAATTAAATAATCTAAAATAATTTTAAAATGAAAATCTAAACCATAAATAGTAAGTTTGTGAAGTTTGTGAGTGTCCTGTTTGTGAACGTAGCATTGCTCTTATCACTTTGTGAAAGTTCAAACTATGTGTTGACATTAACTTAATTTGAATCTAAAATACTATATTCGCCTAATAAAATAATTTTTATACAAACATATATTAAATTTTTGTTTAGATGAAAATCAAAATTCATCATGTTTGACTCGAAAAATTCAAACTAGAAAAAATAGTGGTACAAGGGCGATATTTATATTGATGTGGGGGTGAATTTAGGTTTTTTGGTTTGTTTTCTTAACCCAAAACCAAAGATGGAATTGAAAGTACAATAGCAGCTGGGTTTAATTATTTTAAATATTATTGTTTTTACAACAAATATTAAATTTTTAAAGAGTTGGTTAATTTGATTCTTGTAGTTTAGTTTACATGTTTTTAAATTAGGCGATATTGCACTAAATAATCACATCTTTTATCAACATGTACAAAATAATCGCATCTTTGACAATGTGTAAAACAATCTCACAGTTAGTTACTCTTTCCGTCCCAAATTATTTGTCACATTTCTATTACCGAGGCAAAATATCAAATTTTTTCAATTCATTTTATTTACATATTGGTAAAGAAATAAAAAAATAAAATTATATATCAAAGAACTACATGAAAAATTCTTCGAAATAAGATGTGTCAAGAATATTTTATTTTATCAAATAACCAATGAGAATGTAGAAACAAACAAAAGTTCCCGCGACTGTTGAAAAAGCAAATGTGGCAAATAATTTGGAACGGAGGGAGTACATATATCCCTTAGCCCAATAATGAAAAAGTCAATGAAATACTAATGTGTAAATAACTTCTTTTTAAAAGTAATAAAATAGTCTAACTTTTTGTTAGACCACGCATATTAATCTCATCTTTTAAAGTAGTTGCATGTTCTCTTCATCCGATGGATATGAATAAAATAAGTTCTGATCTAGTCTGAATGTAGTTATATTTAAATTTAATATGTTCTGATTTGCTTCCAATAAGAAAAAAATAATACTCCATAAATAATAAGAATAAGTTGAAGATAATATGACCTACGTATAGTTTAATAGAAGACTGACATGATTATGAATAAACATCGGTCGAAATTATAACTAGACCAAATTAGAGTGAATTAGAAATGTATTTTTGTTTAGACTGAAGATCAAACATGTTTTTTCTGATCCAATGCATTTTACCATAATTTACCTACTTTAAAATAGAACCGGAACTGCAAAATTCTATTCCCTTCATCTAAAAAAGAATGTCACAATTACTATTTCGATTTCTCAACAGCATTTGTTTGTTTATTCATTTTGGTTGATCCTTTGTTAAATAAAATATTTTTGTTACATCTTATTTTATAAAATTTTTGATGTACTAATATATTTTTGAACAATATAATTTTTATTTATTTCTATACGAATTTGTAAATATAATGAATTTAAAAAAGATGATAATTTGTGCGTTCTTCGAAATGTTAGAAAGAATTGGTCGAAGGGAATATATGGGAAGCCACATTCTAATTTTGATAGATCGAGTCCAATGTGTTATGCGTCAATCAAAATTTATTTTAAATGGAAATATATTTCAATTTCATACTTTGAATTATTTTCGGTGAATACTTTTAAATTGAAAATGACGCATTAATGGTATTAATTTGTCGAATATTTTTTGTATGTTTTATTTTTAAAAAAGCTAAGAGAATGAATATAAAGAATAAAATTGTTTTTAGCCCACCGGCGTTAATGTAATTTTTGTTGTTTTTCAATGGAGGGATCTACAACTTTTCTCCCTTCTTTCTCCGTTAAAAGTTTGACGCACAAATGATGAAGCTTCGATAATGCCCATAGAGGCGGTGATTAACGCCCCACGGCATTAAAAAGGCAAAAACACCCCAAGTATTAAAGGTATTTCCAGTGCCCTTGAAGATTGATGACCAGTTTTAGAAAATTTCAAAATATACTTCTAGAAGTTTAATATTGTTTAATTTGCGTCATCTCCTATTTAAAGAAATTTTTACCTACTTTTTGCTTTAGGAGAATTTCTTTTTGTAAATTGGATTTTTATAAAGGAAAATTTTCGTTTGACTTAAAAATATTTTTTTAAAATTTAGACCTCACCCAAATTATATGTTTGAAAATTTAAAATTTGGAGATAAATTTTGGTCAAATTTCTCTAATTCATAAAAAAATTTAGTTCTAAATCTCTACACCCTTTTGTAGTTTGAAATTCAAATTTTTATATTTAAAAATTGAAATTCAATAATCTAAATAAACTTCTAAGTTTAAAAGTTCGAAGGATGATGCAAATAAAAATGTCCTTCGTACTAAACTTTTGGGAATACGTTTTGACATTTTTTATAATTAAGGGTATTTTTTATTATATGCTACCTTTTGAAGTTACAATGTTATAAATTAAAAAAATGTGACATTTAAGACTCTGTTTGTTTGGGTAATAAAAATAATATTAGATGTTGGATGAAACTGAAAGAAACTAGAAAAGGTTGAAAGAAAGTAGAAAAAGATGTAAAATGTTAGAAAAAATAAAGTGTTAAAATATCACTCAATTAAATAATCACCCGAATAAATACGGAGTAATTTTTGAGAAAAATAATTTTGGATAGAAAAGAAAACATCTTAGTCTATATTTGAAGTGATATATTATAAATTTTTATATATAATATATATTCATCATATGTAAATATTTTTTTTAGTCATTGCTATCAACTAGCCATCAACTCACAGTAGTACCAGGTAAAATTAGCTTGAGAAATTTTTTATTTTCAATTTGATTTTCGATTATGGATATGAATCAAACGAAAACGTTGAATTCGTCTCTAATTTAAAAGCCTCCATGAGCAATTCAACTAGTTTCAGAGGTAGAATTGAGTTTTACCGACAATGTGAGAGCAACCTCTCAAAACAAAAAAAATGGTCATGATCTCTAATGCCGAGTGAGCATTGGTCATAATCTCTGATGCCAAGTCTAATGCCGAGTGAGCATGGGTCATATTCTCTGATGCCGAGTGGGGCCCCTTGTGCACAAGTGAGCATGGGTCATAATCTTTGTTTCCAGTTGAGTCACCATGATTTGCATCTACTCACAATCTCGTTGGGCAATGAGTGAGAGGCGCCCGAGGTGAATTATTTCACTTTTTGAAACAAAAAAATTATAAACGAATGAAAAAGAGTTGGACGATCATTTGGTCGGGGAGATTGGGCAATTCAAAATCATAAATCAAAAGAGCAAAAGGCTTCATCATCATCATCATTTACTGTGCGCAGGAAGAATTATTTCTCAAGTAATCTATTTTCATCTCTAGACTTTGCTCCCAGAATAAATAGTACGGGTAATTTCTTTTTTCTTTTTTTCTATTTTTGAACAGAAAATCTTTACTTTCATTCTGTTTCCCATTTACAATACGTTGACCATATGAAATGTTCCTAATTCCATTTGCACCCCCAAAATTCGGCCGGTATTTCATTCAAACCCCTCTCACGTTGCCGTCACGGTCAACTATCCCCCACGTCATCATTCTCGATCTCCACGGCTTCCTCGTTGCCGTTATTCGCATCCACCGCTTCCGCCCCCGCGACGTCCTCCCCTTCCCCGTCGGCGTCGCCCCACCTCATCGCCGGCGCGCAGCCGGACTTGTGGCGGGACCTCCAGTCCATCGCCTGGCAAGCGCGGGAGCAGTAGTTGACGGCGCCGCAGACGGAGCAGCGGCGGAACTCGTGTCTTCTGGATTCGGGTCGCCCGCAACCCACGTGGGAGCAGAGTCGGAGCCCCGGACCCGGAACCCCTTCCTTCGCCGCAAACCAATCGGTTAGGAACTGGTTAGCCGGGTGAGGGTCCGGACCCGGAACGTCAAACCCGAAATCGCTTAGCAACGGGGAGCTCGCCCCGGCGGCGAGATGGCGCTGGTGGGCGAGCGGAATCAAGGGAAGCCACGCGCCGTTTATGGGATCCGACGGAGTGGCAGCGAGCACGCTAGCCAGCTCCCGAGCGTTGGCTTGAACCAGAAACCGCCGTCCCTCAGCCACGCTCTGCTTCACGCCGTAGCCGTCCTGGAGGCAGTGTCCGAGCTCGCGCAGCGCGTCTATGTGGCCCAGAAAAGCCGCTCGAGCGCATAGCGCGACGCCGGCGCGCAAGTCCTTATCGTTCTTCGAGCCACCGCTGCCGTTGAACTGGATGACGGCGAGCGAGTAAAGCGCAGGCGCGTGAGAGGCAATCGCCGCCTTCGCCATAAGTGACGCTCCGCTTCCTCGATTCTCCAGGCAGTAAAACCGAATCTGCTTCCCGCCCCCATTGAAAATACAATCAGATTAATCTGCTCTCATAAAACTTAATCTGCAAAATTTTATGAAAACATAATATGAAATTATGAGCCACTAACCATGCCGAGAATGTAACAAGCTTCAACGTTTCCGGAATCGGCACAGAGCTTGAGGAATCGGTGAGCCGACTCGGTCCAGTTCCGAGCTTTGACGGCTAACATTTTCCGAGAAGCTTTTGATAGAACTATAGACTGAAAACCTAACCCGTTCATCCTTTTGCATCTATATCCAAACACAAAAGAAAAAAATCATCATTACTCCATTAATGGATATATCTAAATCTCAAACGTAAAATCCAAAATCCAAAAAATCAAATAAAAATAAAAAGGAGATCGAGGAGCATACGTGATTAAAACGTTAACAAAATCCGCCGGACACTCCGCCTTCGAGCTGAGATTCGAGAGAATGGTCAAGACGATATCGTCCGGCAACGAATCGAAAAAGTCCGGTTTTCCGGTAAACTCGGACGAGATTTTGGATCTCTTCCGGCTAACCGCCGCCGGATCTCCGGCAACGGCGCGCGAAGACCCCTTCCTTCTCTTCATGACACTAATTTCTCCACACATGCCTCTCGGATTTCGTTTTGTACAATAAATACGGAGAATAATCGCGAAATCGGTGAATAATAATTATTTAAAAATAAAAATAAAAGAAAGAGAGAGTGATCTTCAAAAATCCAAAGAGATAGAGTGACAAGAAGGACTTTATATAGAGTTGTGCTTTGGTGTTCCTTCCACGTAAAATGTGCTATTCTTCTACTAGAAATCACTTTAAATAACACTAAAATATAGAAAAAGTACTAAAATAGAATTTTCATATTTTTATTTTTGAAGTAGGAATTCACAATGTGGTAATGTTAAAGTAATGTGACACAGTACACATTACTATACTTTTTGAAAATGTACACGACCATATTTGGTAATTTAAATGCATTTTAATTTCTATTTCGAGAATAAAAACATGAAAGTCATATTTTAGTATATTTTTAACGTTGTACTCTTACTTTAATCTTAGAGACTACAAAAAAATTTGCTCTTTATTGAAGAAAAAAAATTTAAATTAAATACTACAGAGTATTTTCCTTCTAAAATCTTATCTCAGTTGCTTATTTTGTCCCAAAAATAATTTTCAATTTAGTCTTAAAAATTACATAATAATCTCTCCATTCAAAAATTATTTTTCTATTATGCGTTAGGATATTTAACAGAAACTATTTTTAAAACATTTTATATGAAAAATCGTATAAAATTAAAATATAACAATCACATATTTAAAAACTACGTCAAAAGATCCACAAAATTAGTATTGACAAAATATTATTTTATTAAATAGATAACAAAAATAGACCAACAAAGTGAATAAATTTTGACTCATTGAGTAGAGAATGGAAATATTTTGATATTATATGTGTCATATTTTAAAAAACATGAAAATCATAAATATTTTGGAAAAGGTGAATTAAAAAAATTTGGCAGTGCAATTACCGAAAGGCCCCTGAGATTGAAGAGAGAGGCTGGTCAAATACCTTTGACCGGAGGGGTAGATGCCCACGTCCGTCGCCGACGAAGGAAGGACGCTTTCTGTCTCCTTTTTGTACAATAAAAAATACGCTATACGGTTCCGTATTCCATACCGAGACAAAATACAATACGTAGGCAAAAGAGAAAATACGTACGGCCATAAAAATGATACATATCCTCAAAAACCGAAAAGTAAGGGAATAACAAAAAAAAAGGTCGATAGTTGTCCAATTATTTCAATCGTACAAAAAATAAACAAAGATATTCTACCATATTGGTGTGCACATGAAGGTAACTTCTTGATTGGGATTTGCATTTTTTTAAAGTTATTACGAGTAATTTCGTTACCATACGTTTTTTAGGATCTCTTTGATGCACAGAATTAACAGAATTGGAATTGAATTAGAAATTAAAAGTTTATGAAATTAAATTTTTTCATTCCAATTCATTTTTAGCACTACCAATTTAAAATTCACAATTTTTTGTGCTACCAAATAAAAGAATTGAAATTATTGTCTCTAATTCCAATTCCATAATTCGAATTGTGTGTACTAAACGTGGCATTGACAAATTACACAAAAGTAGTCACGAGTTGAAATATCACAGCTTTTGCAGCGTTCACTTATTGTTGTCCTAAAGTACATATGTGAAATTTGAACTTTCTTGCATATTTTTTATGAACTTATAAGTGAATCTTTTTTCTTCTTATCAGGCATAATGCATATAATAATTTTATGTAAGAAGAGCATTTGTAACGGAATGCAAATTCCGACGCACAGCTCGGGATCCAAGGCACGCAGCGCCAGACGTCTATTGTAGGAGGAGGAGTGCATTTTCAGCCCTGGCGCATGCCCCAATAGTGGCGCTTAGCTAGGCTGAATTCTCGACGCATAACCGTGGCGGCGGCCACTGCAGCGGTCCGCCACACCCCAATTCGATTTTTTCTAAATTTTTCAACCTTATAAATTCAACACATCTTCCACCTTAATCCATCAAGAGATGATTTGATCGAAGAAATTTAGAGGCGCAACAATACTTAAGTGTAGCATTAATCTTCGTTTATTTCATCTTTTATTTTGATGTTTTTCGTCTATTTTTTAATTTTAATTATATTTTGTGTATTTCACCCTTTATTTTGATTTTGTTTATAATAAAGAGTGTCAATCTTAGCATTTTTATTTTAATTATATGTATTTTGTTTTTAAAAAATTAGAATTAAAAATGATGAATAAAGAGTGTCATTATTTATTGACAAGTGTCAATCGTGTCAAGAAATAATGAAAATTATATCATTATGTAGAATTTAACTGTCTGATCCCAACAGTTCACTCGGATTTACATTCGGAGAAAGTTGGACCAGAAAGTGTTCCCCGACTAGGACCGAATTAGTCCCAATCAGGGACTTGCATTTGGAATCCTAGCAATCGCCGCTCCCTCCACCGAGACGCCAAAACAGTAGCAATAGGAGGTCATCACCCATGTCTTTTTCCTCTCCTCTCCACTATATAAACCCCTCCAAACTCCACCATTCTTCACTAATCTTCTTCCAAGAGATAGCTGAGAGTGTAGAGAGTGAAGTAGTGCTGTCAAGAGAGCTTCCCGTCACCGGATAAAGCCACAATCCTCGCTAGAAGTTTTGCCAGAAAATCTTCAATACCTTCATTTACCTCGAGGTAAGCCCGTAGATATATCTAATGACTAGAATGTTCGTATAGATCGTTTCTACGTTCATAAACGGTCATTTGGTTGAGTATTGTGTTTAATATGTTTGAAGGACCAAGAATCATAAACCTTGAATTTGATATTAAAATTATGATTTAATGATTTCAAAATGATATATGAACCTTGGAGAACATCTCTATATAGTTTAATTGAAGTTCGGTGTCTAAAAATGGTATTTCCGAAAAATGGACCTTAGGTTGAAGAAGATGAACAGTAGCTGAAAAACAGCAGGGTGGATCGATCATATCTATTGGATCGATCACCTGGAGCTTTTCTTTTACAGTCTGGATTGATCTAGACTACTGGATCGATCCCTCAAAGATATGATCGGAAAATTTGTCCGAAAATGCTATTTTTTGAGCTCTAAAATCCTATTTTTGATACCAATTGATTATGATCATTATAAAAATTATTTTTCATATTAAAAGTGATGTTTTTAACAAATAAAAATATTATGTGATGCATGACAGTAAGTTAGGGTGTTAACACCCGAAGCTATGCTGCTAATTGTTATTGAATATTATGTTGATTGATGATTATGGTAATGATTATTGATTGATGATTATGATGATTAAATCTTGATAAATATTCTGATTAAAAATGATAATTGTGAATGATTAAATCATAATGAATATATTGATAATTGTGAAAATAATATGTATTGTTAAGGGTATCTAGAAGACCTCTAAGATATATACCCATATTAATGTTGATTTGAAAGATATTTAGAAGACCTCTAATATATACTAATTTAAGTTAGGCCTTGCGGGTATGAACCCCGGTGGCTAGTGTTAAAACATACGTACAGGATCCAAAAACCAAACTTGAGTACATACTCGTTTGGGGGTACCACCCACCCAACAGTGAACACTACGCTGTCGGTTTCTGGTTGGGCTTAAGTAAAGGTAAGTTTAAGATTTTCAAAACCTTTTTTTCTTAAACTAGGCCTAGCTTAAGGATTATTTAGAAGTACTTTATACTGGAATATAGTTTAATTATTTAAACTAGAATTCGTTTAAGGGTTGACAAATATTAAAGTGATTGAACTTAGACTAAGAATAGTTTAAGGATATTGTTGAATGTTGAATATTGAATTTTGAATATTGAATATGAATAAATATTGAATGATGAATATTGAATTAAATATTGTAATTATTATAAATGACGAATCAATGTTGAAATGTGAAAATAAAATAATGAATGAAAAATATTGACTAATGATTATTGACTATCTGAACTGAACATTATGTGCATGATATCAAATGATTTGATTATGAACTTAGATTCAGTTTATATGAATGTTCGACGCATTAGATATGCTTACTCAGCTTAAACGCTGAGTGTGTAGTATGTTTTATTTGCTACACGCAGGTAAACAAAAAGAATGAAACAATGATTTCCTGGAGGCAGATGGGACGAGATGTTAGGGCAGATGCGTGTTTTGGATTTGGAATACTGTTTGAAAAGACATAAATTAATTATGTTTGTATTATGTTTATATTAAGCTTCCGTAACGATAAATTACTCCGTTATTATTTTGAATGACTCATTACGAAATAAAGTTTTAAATATTTGAAATATTTTTGAATGTCTATGAATACCAAATTTATACTTTAGTCCGAAAGGGGCTGCAGACCTGGACGGATTAGGGTGTTACAATTTGGTTTTGGAGCAAATGGTTTTAAACCTGATCTTCGGATCAAAACTTGGATAAAAAACAAAAAATATTTTATATATGTGTGTGTGTGTGTGTCTATATATGTGTGTGTGTGTGTGTGTGTGTGTATATGGGATTGACTCCAGTGAGATGACATGCTTCGGTCAGATGACACAAATCTCATCACTAGCCACTGCAAAGCTCACCAAAGACAACTACAAAGCTCACCAAAGTGTAAGGCAAAGCTCGCCATATTTTTTCAACACTTTGTATTTTTTTCCAAAAAATAAAATCAAAGGAAGGGATGCTGATTGGACTTTGACTGTTGACTACCAGCATTGACCGCCGCCGCCGCCGTCGCCGATTTCTGGCAGCCGTCGCCGGTCGCTGCCGCCGAACTCTGGCCGCCACCGCCGGTCGCTGCCGCCGCCGATCATCGCCGGTCGCCGGTCATGGCCGACCGCCGCTGCTGCTTCGCTACCGTTGACCGGTGGTTGACCGGTGTTGTTATTTTATTTTTAATTAATTTTTTAAGTTTTAAAATTTAAAAAAAGGTGAGTTTTGGGGTTCAAAGTGGTGAGCTTTGCTTTATTTCCAGGTGAGCATTGTATTGTCTATTGGTGAGCTTTGTGTAATCTGACCGAAGCATGTCATCTCACTGTAAACTGGAGTCAATCC